AGCAACAGGAGCGCACCCCACCGCGGGGATTCGAACCGCCGACCTTTCGATCGGCAAGCCCTAGGCGCTGAGGCTTTTACCCACAGCGCCACCCGCGTCCCAAAATTAAGGTTACTGAACATAAATTTACATAAGCATTCTAAGGATAAGCAGGGCAGTTTTACACTTGGGATGGCTGCATTAGGACAATCAAATCCTGGCTTAAAAAGTCACGATACGCATGAGGTTTGTGCACCAACCCACAGGCCCTGTGGCTCTCACATCATGCCTCATTTCCTTCCTCAAGGAAAACCAGGAAGCCCCAGTTAACCATAGCTTCCTGTTACTTTCAAACCAGTTAACAGCATTCCAAAGCCAGGATTCAAAAGCCAACTTTAAATGATCCCTTCATATTTCCGCTCCTTTGGAAGCCATCAACAATAGTTTTCTGGTTTGGAGATAATGGGCTTCCTTGTTTGTTTCTCTGCTCACATAGAGCAAAGAGACTTCATGCAAGCACACAGAGCTCCTGCACACCCTGGATTATTAACAAAGCTAAGAAATTGGTTTATATAATTTCCAAGATGAATAAATGTTTCTGGATGCTCAGAAAGATTTTGAAGGGTGAGCATTTTTAACAGAAAACAAAAGTCACCACTGTTCCTTTTTAGCATCATTATAATCACGGGAACTAGGAAGTACATGAGTGTGTGAGTGGAAATACGAAGGTGGGCTGTTTATTCTATAGCAGTTATATTCCAGGAATAATTACAGACCAAGTCAACAACATGTACTGTGGATTACGCGTGCATTTCTCACCGCAGATCTTAGTCCAAAAGTTGTTAAATCGCACATCCTGCAGTGGCAGGATTTGGGACAGCCTGTCTTTGTCATGCAACCCACACAGAGAAAACATCCTGGTTCAGCTTAACTACATGAAACAAATCAAGTCAACACAAAATCCACTGAGGCTTCAATCCACAATATATGCAATGCCAAATGCATCTGTGGTCTTTTTGCATGTTTTCTTCCATCTGTGGAACTGTTACCTTGGAAAAATTCCTGGAATGCTATTTGCGGCTTTGAAAAATAAGAAGAGGGGATACTCTAGTACAGTGTTTTTCAACCTTTTTTGGGCAAAGGCACACTTGTTTCATGAAAAAAATCACGCGGCACACCACCATTAGAAAATGTTAAAAAAATTAACTCTGTGCCTATATTGACTATATATAAAGTAATTCTCTTGAATAGGAATCAAATAAACACAAAGAAAGTAGTTTATAATTACTTTATTGTGAAATAGTAAGTAAACAAAAATATGAAAAATTATAAAATACTTTATTTTTAAATCTTTCGAATTTTTCAATTTTTCCCACGGCACACCAGGCAACATCTCGCGGCACACTAGTGTGCCGCGGAACAGTGGTTGAAAAACACTGCTCTAGTAAGACAGAAAGTCCAACATATCATTGGGGAAGTCTGCTTAGCTGAATCAGGGTGTGTGTGTGTGTAAGGCAACACAATGCATTGTGTGATCTACATTACCAATAGTTAATGCAGAGGTTTTCATCCTTGTTGTGTCCACAGCTCCCTTGACCTTCTACATACTTTCTGCAAGTCCCCTGTGGGGCTCAGGAGCCTAGTTATGTCACCTCTTCCTGCAGAGTTGGCAGCCCATTGCCCCTTGGAGAATATTCCCTCAGCCTCCTCCCTTCTCCCTTCTCCATGGGTGTCTTCCAGGCAGCAGCCTCCCACCATCCCTGGTCTTGGATGGAGATGATTTTGCAAGACATATGCCTACGACCTGACCTTTTTGATGCCATCCAATTAGCTGCCATGACAATAGGAGATGCAGCCAGTGTTTGAATCCAAATCCAGTTGTGCTAGCCAAGGAATGAAGAAACAAAAGGGAATACTCTCAGGGTGGAGACCTGCTCCATCCTGCCATGAACCACAGAACCATACAAGACATTGGAAATGATGCCTTCTTTTGTCCAATCATATTTGGAATTTGCTTTGAAGCATTTGTTAGAGGCTATATAAACCCCAGGCTTCACAGCAAAAATTCGCAGACCCTTCTAGTGTCCCTATTTTCCAAGGACAGTCCCAGATTTTCAGAAACTGTTCTGGTTTCTGGTTAGATCCTGCAATATGTCTTACTTTTCTTTAGGTAAAGGTAAAGGGACCCCTGACCATTAGGTCCAGTCATGACCGACTCTGGGGTTGCGGCGCTCATCTCGCTTTATTGGCCGAGGGAGCCGGCGTACAGCTTCCGGGTCATGTGGCCAGCATGACTGAGCCGCTTCTGGCGAACCAGAGCAGTGCACGGAAATGCCGTTTACCTTCCCGCCGGAGCGGTACCTATTTATCTACTTGTACTTTGACGTGCTTTTGAACTGTTAGGTTGGCAGGAGCAGGGACCGAGCAACGGGAGCTCACCCTGTCGCGGGGATTCGAACTGCCGACCTTCTGATCAAGTCCTAGACTCTGTGGTTTAACCCACAGCGCCACCTGCGTCCCTCACTTTTCCTTAGGACATCCCTATTTTCGTCAGAAAAATGTTGGTGGGTATGGAATAGTTTTATTGCACCATTTCACTTGCTGCCTGAAATCACTCCTGCTGGATCCCATCACACCAGAGAGAGGTAAAAAGGTAAAGGTAAAGGACCCCAGGACGGTTAAGTCCAGTCAAAGGTGACTGAGGTTGCGGTGCTCATCTCGCTTTCAGGCCGAGGGAGCCGGCATTTGTCCACAGACAGCTTTCTGGGTCATGTGGCCAGCATGACTAAGCTCCTTCTGGTGCAACGGAACACCAAAACCAGAACAGTGCACGGAAACGCAGTTTACCTTCCCGCCACAGCGGTACCTAGTTATCTACTTTCACTGGTGTGCTTTCAAACTGCTAGGTAGGCAGGAGCAGGGACAGAACAATGGGAACTCACCCTGTTGTGCAGATTCGAACCACCAACCTTCTGATCAGCAAGCCCAAGAGGCTCAGTGGTTTAGACCAAAGCGCCACCCGCATCATAGCTGTCAACTTACAGATTTGAAAATAAGGGACCAGCAGCCTCGAAAATAAGGGATCAGCAGCCAAAATAAGGGATCAACAATTACTTTGATAAAATACATATTTTGTTGCGTGCAAATGGCTTTAGATACCTATTAGGTCCATAAATTACCATATAGCATATATTCAACACAAAAAAAGCAACAATTTGTTGTTGACAAAGGACAGCTGGACATAGAAAGAGCCCCATTACCTTCAGTAGTTTATTTAAGGGACATCATCAATAAGGGACAGCAGCGGGACACAGCGCTGGGATAAGGGACTGTCCCGCCAAATAAGGGACGCTTGACAGCTATGACCCGCATCCCTTACACCAGATAGAACCCATGGACTGACTCAGTCCTCCTCACCTGCTTTTCCTGTTCCTCTGGAACCCCCCCCCCCCACTTCCTGCAGCTGCTGCAAAGGCCCCTTCCAGAGCTCTGCTCCCTAACCCCGCTTCTCTGGATCCCTGCTTGCTGAAACAGATATCCTGGCCGCAGCTGCCAAGAAGTCCTTCTAAGAGCTCCCTCTTGCGGACTGTTTTCTTGCCTGACTTGGGACTTTCAATGTGTCCTAGCTCTCCTTTTTCCATTTTTATTGCCCAGAGTGCTGAAAATCTTGCTCATTGTTCTCTGCGATGTCTGGTGCTTTCCCTACAAATTGTTGCCTCCACACCTACAGGTTCCACACACCCATCTAGGTCTTCTGATTCTCCTTTGGGCTTCTATTCAAGATAAACAAAACAATCCATTCTGTTGTGTGTGTGTGTGTGTGTGTGTTAGCTTACTCGTGGTTAAAATTAATTATCGAATTCCCTCTTTGAAAAGAAGTAAATATCTATGTATTGTTGCTGAGCTCTTCCCCATTGAAAAATGTGTATTTTTATTCTCTCTCTGCGATAAAAAAACCCCCAATTTAAGACATGTGCAAATATATAGGTAAAGGTAAAGGGACCCCTGACCATTAGGTTCAGTTGTGGCCAACTCTGGGGTTGCGACGCTCATCTCACTTTATTGGCCGAGGGAGCCGGCGTACAGCTTCCGGGTCATGTGGCCAGCATGACTAAGCCACTTCTGGCGAACCAGAGCAGCGCACGGAAACATCATTTACCTTCCCGCTGCAGCGGTACCTATTTATCTACTTGCACTTTGACGTGCTTTCGAACTGCTAGGTTGGCAGGAGCAGGGACCGAGCAACGGGAGTTCACCACATCGCGGGGATTCGAACCACCAATCTTCTGATCGGCAAGTTCTAGGCTCTGTGGTTTAACCCACAGCGCCACCCGTGTCCCTTGTGCAAATATATACTACTGCGTAAATCTACCAATATGCACTACCGCCACTGCTTAAAAATCCAGTTTCACAAGATTCCTAGCACCTATGTATGGGAAACACAGGAGTATTTGCAAAGAAGGCTTGCTAAAATCATGCCACCACTATCTCCAGCAACCCTAGAGGTAGGTTATCCCCCCCCAAAAAAAACCCCCAATTTAACTCTTTCCCGTGTATCTATTTTAACAAAACTTTCCCTTAATGGTTTTCAAATGTAGATAGCCATGCCTGTTAAACCATTATTCAAGGATAGGAGATTGAGTAATGGAGATGCCTATTTGTGCTTGAGTGTGTGAAGATACGGATGCATGTATTGACCAGACAATACACTTGCATGTGCTTAGCAAGATGGGACTGTTGCTTTGACCTACTGGCAATGCAGTTTCCCCAAACTGAAAAAATGACCACAGTGTGGTAATAAAGTCAACACAGACATTCGCCTTACTCAATACAGCACCTCTGGAGTAAGGAAGAAATAAACTTTATAGGAAGCTGGACTCCGAATGCGACGAGGAACATAAAATGTAATTTATTTAACAACACATTAAAATGACACTTGTGCACAGCACATACATATGAGAAATAAAAGCATATACTTGACAGACGTATGAGAAATAAAAGCATATACTTGACAGACACAAATGTTTGTTTCCTACAAATGTACAGTTTCTAATGTTAAGTTCATGTTAAGTCAGCATATGAGGTATATTTGGCAGTTCCACTTTATTCTGTAGCAGTAAAAACTCATCTGGGGCACTGTATCCAGTTCTGAGCACCACGTTTTAAGAAGGTGAGATTGGAATGGGATCGGAGAAGGCAATCAAAGATGGTCAGTGGTGTGGAAAACAAGTCCTGTGAAGAAAGATGGAAGGAGCTTGGGATGTCCGGAGAAGAGAAGGCTGAGGAGGATTCTTGCAGAGGGCAAAGGCATGACTGTGCTGAGCTGGCCTAAGTTAGAGGATAGTTTTGGTTGAGCCTTAGAGAAAACTTCTTAACAGTAAGAGCCATCCAAAAAAAGAAGGATTTTTCGCTCCCTAGAAGTCTTCAAGACAGCCACCTGTTGGAGATATTCAACAGGTCTGGATTTCCAGCTCTGGATTTCCTGCACTAAGTTGGCCTACACCACCCCCTCAATGATTTTATGAAGAGTATACAGTGGTACCTCAGGTTACATACGCTTCAGGTTACATACGCTTCAGGTTACAGACTCCGCTAACCCAGAAATAGTGCTTCAGGTTAAGAACTTTGCTTCAGGATGAGAACAGAAATCGGGCTCCGGCAGTGCGGCAGCAGCAGGAGGCCCCATTAGCTAAAGCGGTGCTTCAGGTTAAGAACAGTTTCAGGTTAAGAACGGACCTCCGGAACGAATTAAGTACTTAACCCGAGGTACCACTGTACCCAGCCCAGTTGGTGTGTGATAGGTAGCTATCCTGTTTTGCTTGTTCACAGACTATTTTCTGTCCACAACTAGACACTGTTTCCTCCTGGTGTACAGTGGTACCTCGGGTTAAGTACTTAATTCGTTCTGGAGGTCCGTACTTAACCTGAAACTGTTCTTAACCTGAAGCAGCACTTTAGCTAATGGGGCCTCCTGCTGCTGCCGCGCCGCCGGAGCACGATTTCTGTTCTCATCCTGAAGCAAAGTTGTTAACCTGAAGCACTATTTCTGGGTTAGCGGAGTCTGTAACCTGAAGCGTATTTAACCTGAAGCGTATGTAACCTGAGGTACCACTGTATTTAAATCCTAGATTTATTATTTTGTGTTTCACACTGAAGGATATTATCCCATTTGGCCCTTGCGTGATGCATAATATGCTGGTTTTCACATTTCAAACAAGAGAAGTGCGAGACACCATTTTATTTCTCACCCGTTGCCTTCTCAAAAATGTCTGAATTTCTTCTACATTCACCAGAAGCAATAAGTTTACCAACTGACTATGCAATAAATGCAAGATACATCTGAGCCTTTCAAGTCTACCTCACTGAGAAGGACATAGTTGGTGAGAGATACAGGATCTTTCAGTGTTTAAGAGGCCAAAAAGCTCCACGCTCAGAGACATTTGAAATGAGCATAGAACAATTCAGAAATCCTAGTTAAATATCTGACACAGAAGCTACTACCTACAGAGCACCCTTTGTAAATAGATTGTTCGTATAATGATAATGTGGGTTGATGTACACATCTAAGCAGATCTAGGGGACAAATTTTCAGCTGGTGTTAATGATAAAAACTGGATGTATTTACAATTTTGTCATCAGCTTCCTTTCCAAGCTACATGATCAGTATTCAGAGACTCAAAAGCAGTAAGAGCTGCTGTTCCCTGCAGGACACACGTTAATTAAAATAGTATGTGTGCTCCACGCAACAATTCTTCCACCATATCACCTTGAAGTCTCAGAAAGTCTTTTCCTGGCCACAGCTTGATCATTCAAGTCACTTTATCCCAGTGGTGACAGCTTTACAGGGATAGGAGGTTAAAACAGGGGTGTCCAAACTTTTTTCAAAGAGGGTCAGATCTGATGAAGTGAACATGTGTGTTGACCTTTCTTTAGGGTTGAATTTCTTGAGCTTTTTGGGGGGATTGAGGTTGTTGAGCTGCTTTTTGGATTTTCCCCAAAGCTGTTGAGCTTTTTTAAGGATTGAAAGAGGGGCCAGATTAACCAGATTTTTTTTTTCAATGAATCCAGGGACACTTTTTTGTTCTTTTGAAGCTGAGTAGCAACAGGGAGTCAGTAGCGGGGATGGTGAGGCAAAAGACCCTGGGCCCAAGCACACATGCACATTGTATAAAGGTGCAAAGCCCTTCTTTCGCACCCTGTGAAACATAAATGCGCAGAGTTTTTTTTAAAAAACTGGGCAATGGTGTACTGCCTGCCCATGACTCCCAAGTCTTCCCTGATCTCCTTCCCCCTTCTCCCTTTGTTTTGACAGATCAGGGGAGGCTCAGGAGTCACAGGCAGGCGGCCGTTGCCCAGGAGGGGCCAGTCTGGTAGCACAGTTGGCTCTGGCTGGCTTCAGGAGCTGCTCGCTGCTGTGGCGCAGGAAAAATGGCGGGCGCCACGGCAGTGAGCAGCTCCTGAAACCAGCCAGAACCAACTGCACTAACAGGCTGCTGAGGCTGCCGCTGCCACGTTTCCTGGGACAGATTTGCAAATCCAGGGACAGATTTGCAAATCCAGGGACTGTCCCAGGGAAACGGGGATGTCAGGTAACCCTAGATAACCTAGATAACTAGGTAACCTGCGGGCCGGATTAGACCCCCAGGCCAGACTTTGGACATGCCTGGGTTAAAATAAATACAGTCAGACCTTGGAAGTCAAACAGAATCCATTCTGGAAGTTCAACTTCCAAAATGTTCAAAAACCAAAGCACGGCTTCTGAAGCTCTTGCAGCCAATCAGAAGCCATGGAAGCCCCGTCGGACGTTCGGCTTCAAAAATAGTTCGCAAACCGGAACAGTCACTTCCGGGTTTGCGACATTCAGGAGCCAAAACGTTCAAGAACTAAGCTGTTTGAAAACCAAGATACAGTATGACTGTAAATGTCTGAATTCCTTTCAGGATACACAAATGCAACAAAGGGTTTTTTAAAAAAATATGAAAATCTATGTATACTTGGCAAGCTTGCAGCTTCTGCATGGACACCTTGAAGACTGATAGAAGACTACACATATAAGCGACTACTAAAGTGAGACAGCGCTAATCCATCCTATGCTTCAGCTGCTTCCATGTAGCTCAGATCGCCTCTTTTGTACGTGTGATTCATAGAGCTAAGCGTTCACCTCGATCACTTTCCTGGATGTGAAACCTCTGGTGAGATTGCAAAAAAGAGTAGGTGTTCTGGCTTAAGATATTTGGGTAAGTAACTAAGCAAGTGATTATCCCAGAGCTGACATTGGCACTCCTTTCCGTTTTCTGAGCAGGGCTGGCGAATCCCAGATGTTACAACCCCCCGGTGGCAAAACTGTGCCAACGCCATAAATGGGGAAATAACTGGATACCTTACGCTGAAACACTGGTATAATGGGCTATGGCAATTGGCCCTTGCAAGAAATTGGCACAAGAATGCAGGGTAGCTTCCAGTAATGGTGGGGGACCAACTCTGTCAACTCAGTGGTGATCTGGCACCTGTTTCTCTGCTTTTTTCTCTGATTTTGACAGGAGGCCACCCTCAGCTTCCTTCTCATTTTGATATTTCTTGATAGTCTGTAACTTCTGGTGTTTCTATAGTGAGTCTTTTATCAGTTTCTCTTTCTGAATTGCATAGAGTGACTCTCTTCTTGTCGCTTCTTCATTATGGTTTTTAAAAATGGCAATAAAAACAGTTTAAAAAGAAAAGACTAGTTTTGCTCTTGGTTGCAGATGAGATGGAACAAACCTCTCCCTTGGGCATATGATTCAGTTCCTCATGTTCTGATAACAGATTATAGCTTCACATTCCGTATACCTGAGAGTAAGACCCCTTGAATTCAGTAGGACTTACATCCGAGTGGACACGGTTAGGAGTGGACTGTAAATGATGTTTCAAATTTAGGAATGCCCCCCTCTACTCAGGTATCTCAAGGCTTCTGGTCATAGATATTTATAGTGTCTATTGACTTAGGGTATCTTAAAATACTTTTTAAAAGGATGTGGCATGACTGGCATTCTGGAGAAAGGTTATATAAACAGATGAGTAAAGTTGAGTGGCCTCTCCATGTCTTCAAAGTAAAACGTATTTCACTCAATGACTTAAAATAAGATGACTGCCTCTGGGATTTTTAACAAGCTAGAAAATGCCCCAGAATCTTCTGCAACATGCACTGATTTCACAGCAGAAAAGGCAGTGGCTAATAATGTATGCTAAGTAGGAAGTCTGAAAAACACTTGTCTGTGTATATTAATTTTATACATGTCATCAATTATATACTGCAGGCTAATATTCTGATGCTTAAAGGAATGATCAGTGCAAGTGGCACGATATATCATTTATCTGCTTCTGTCAGTATGTGTTCCAACAAATATCCAAAAGTTGGCAAATTTTGTCAATAATGTGTCACAGCATGGTATCATAGCACAAACAATGTTCTAGCAGTGCAATCATATGTATATCTAATTAGAAATAAGCTTCACTGGCTTCCGTGGGACTTACTCACTGGTAAGCATGTATGGCATAACTAGAGTATGTCAGCCTGCCTCCCAAAATTGTCCTCCGGATCAAGGACTAGATCTGAGGGAGCCAGGTGGCACCTGTGGGTGCATTGCTGCCCTTGATGACCTCCTCTGGTGCCCATGAAGCCTCTGAGAGTCCCCACTCCCTGCTCAATGTCCCCTTTGTTAAGAGGTGATGAGAGTAGCTTACCACCACTTGAGAAGGAGGAAGCTGGAAGACTTAGGTTCTTCCCAACTTTGTGTTTCAGCTCCGTAGGATGGATTCAATTAAGCAGGTGGGAGCCAGTGCCCCACAAGTCCAAACAGGATCTCTCTCTTCCTCCCTTGAGCCCCCAAGCTGGCTCTAAGGGTCTAGAGAACCCTCCAGAACAACAGATGGACGGAGGAGAGGGGAGAGTGTACCGACGAGCAAGTGGAAATGCTTGTTTGATGGCACGATTGAATGCTACCCCAGCAGAGTGCTTTTCAAGACTCCGATTGGGACCACAGAAGCTGAATTTAACCTGGAGTGACCAAGAGGGGAGGGAGGACCAGGAGGGGTCTGGGAGACTGGGGCAGGGGGAAGAAGGGGGCTGTGTCAAGAGTCAGGAGGAAAAAGGGCACGTATTACTGCATGTGCACTCATGCACACGTATCCGATCTCGTAGAATAAATCCTCTTGATACTGCTCAATATTTTTATATGTTCGCCCACCATCAAATCGCATCTCTCCTCTGTCTTTGGACAGATTGTAAAAAAAACCTGAACAGGTCCAGTGTTTTTGGGTACTGCCGTGGTGCAAAAGCATAGATCCAAGGCACAGATCCAAATGGATCCAAATTACAAGTGATTCCTGAAATCCACCATTAAGCCATAGAACAGGGTGTGTCCAACTCAGTTATTACAGAGAGCCATAGGAGCCAACTCCTAGGGCCTGTGGGGGCTTTGGCCCCCACAATAAAATGTTTGAGCACAAAGCTGATGGGCGTTTCCATTCAAATGGTGTGTGTGCATTGCGTCATGTGATCGATTGTGCAGGGTGGGGCTTACCTGGGCCCCCACAATAGTTAATTCAAGTTGGCAGCCCTGCAGAAAACTAAGTTATTTAATGTTATGCTTATAGAATCCTAAAACTGTAGAGTTCAAGGGGAGTCCAACCGTCATCCAGTCTGCAATCCTGCCTACAGCCATCCCTGGGGGCTCGAACCACCAACCTTGTGGTTAACAGCCAGGCACACTCACTCACTGCACCACAGAAGGGCCATTATGGTAGACCCACACCAGGATTTCAGAATGCTTACGCTAAGCACAGATTAAAAACTTGACACTGGAAACAGTGAGTGCAAAGAAAACTGAGTGCGAACACAACCTTGATGTATATACAATAGATGGACACGGCAAGGGGAATTTTACAAGGAAGAACACCAGCCTGCATGCAGCTGAACTCTATAATAAACAGGGATGCCATATGTCCAGGATTTCAAAGGCGGAATTGACGTCCGGGAGGAATTTCTGAAAGGGAGTGCTTTGCCCTGGATCTTAGGCAAGTCAAGATCTTGTCTGAAAAAAGCTCAACAGCATTCAGGTTTTCCTAAAATAAGCTCAACAACTTTCAAGGTGTCCTGGTTTTTTACTTTTTGAAATATGGCAACCCTAACAATAAACCAGTTCTTCTGCAAAGTTCAGCCTAAATCAAGTTCTTATTTCTAAGAGTCCCGGGTCTCTGAACACCACATTGATCCTCACCACTGCCTTGTGTGAACTGCCTGTGCCCTACAGCAAACCTCTAGAGTTGCAAACATAGCAAGTCTTCCCTTTAAGAAATCCCTCATAAAGGTCCAGTAAACTCCAGGACTCCTGATATCACAATTTGGAAACCTAATATAATGAGCTTGATCTATGAGAAGATTGTATGCAAATGATTGAAGTGGGAAGTAACTGAAAAACAATTCATCACACTACTAAAAATCTCAGATATATGTTTGTTTTCTGTTGAAGTTACACTGAAAGAGCAGTAGTTGTGGCAAGTATCCAAACTCAGCTAGACCCCAGTTCTGCAGCTACACCACTGAATTGCTTTTTTTGCTTTATGTAAATGCAAAAATTTCACCATTGACAAAGTTAGACAAAGTAGTAACTTTTGGATAAATAAGTCCTATCTCGAAAGGAGTTGTTTTGAAATCGGTGTAGAAAAATTAGTGTAATGTATCCTGTACAAATGATTTCACCTATATATGCATATATATAGTAACAAATGAATGAATATATATTCTTTACCTGGGAGCTGATTCTCATGTGCAAATTGAAATAGGGCAGTTTAAATACATTTGACTCTGGTCTTCATAATCTGGGTAAAAAGTGTGTGACAGTCTGAGCAAGCGAGACTTTGCTTCCTCTTTTGGCTCTCCCATGTTTGCTGAGTGCTATGTAAAAGCTTTTGTACATGGCTGATTCATAAGCATTGTAGTTGTTGGGAAGAAGGCTTTCTTTGAATTTACATTCGTCTTGAAAAGTTGCCTGGATAGAGAGAAGAAAGAAACACAGTGTGATTGCAACATCTGCTCACATTCGTCATCACGTGTTGCCTGTACTGTTCCCTTCATTTCTGGAATAGCACCTTTAATCTGTTTTGCTTCATATTGTTTCAAGGTGTATACATTAAATACAGGTAGGTAGGTAGATGAATCGATGGGAATGTATACATCAATTAAATAAATGGGTGCGTGTGTGTGAGAGAGAAAGGTAAACGGCCAGTTCCTGTGGTCCATGCCTTTATTGCTACTCTCCTGAAAACACTCCTTCCAAACAGAGAAGGTAGAAATAGCAAAAATGATATTCTGGCACCCAGAACTGGACACAGGAGTGCAGGTGTGTTCTTTCCAAGGCAGAATAAAAAGGTAAAGGTACCCCTGCCCGTACGGGCCAGTCTTGACAGACTCTAGGGTTGTGCGCCCATCTCACTCTAGAGGCCGGGGGCCAGCGCTGTCTGAAGACACTTCCGGGTCATGTGGCCAGCGTGACAAGCTGCATCTGGCGAGCCAGCGCAGCACACGGAAACGCCGTTTACCTTCCCGCCAGTAAGCAGTACCTATTTATCTACTTGCACCCGGAGGTGCTTTCAAACTGCTAGGTTGGCAGGCGCTGGGACCAAGCAACGGGAGCGCACCCCGTCGCGGGGATTCGAACCACCAACCTTTCGATCAGCAAGCCCTAGGCGCTGAGGCTTTTACCCACAGCGCCACCCGCGTCTCTTCCAAGGCAGAATAGAATGGTACAATTACCGTACTTCCCTTGATTTGAACACTATACTTCCATTGATGCAGAAGTATCAACAAGGAGCAAGACAGTCTGAGCATAATACGCCAATCCTGGTCCAACTACACTGGCTACCGATTAGTTTCTGGGCCCAATTCAAAGTGCTGGTTTTGACCTATAAAGCCTTAAACGGTTCAGGACCGTAATACCTTAAGGACCTTATAAAGTGGAAAACCCAAGAATTACCAACGATAGAAGAATGGCAGATGAAGATGATGGATTTTTCGGAGCTAGCCAACCAAACCGGAAGAGTCCGCGACCAGAAGGAGGAGGAGTATCAGGAAGAGTGGATTAAATTTAATGATTACTTAGTTAAATATGTTAAGTTAAATTAACTGAAAACAACTTGCAGATACTTAAATGGCTTAGGATTTTATTTATGTTAAGTATTGAATTAATATGTTTAATTTCATAATGTGAAGATCTAAGGATGTTAACGTTTAAGTTAAATTTTATAAGAACTGTGATTTGGAAAACCGTTAAAAGGACATGCAATGAAATTCAACCAAGAGGAAGCAAGGAAGTCACTTAACAATGTTAACAAGCGCAATTTTCAATAAGGCTATGAATTATGTTTGTTTGTCTTATGTGTTTGTTTGTTTGTTTGTTTGTTTATAATGTTGTGAAAACCAATAAAAAAAATTTGGGGGGAAAGAAAAAAAAGGACCGCCTCTTTCCATATGAACCTGCCCGGACCATAAGATCATCTTCTGAGTCTCTTCTTTGTGTGCCTCCTCCTTGAGAGCTCAGGAGGGTGGCAACAAGAGTATGGGCCTTCTCTGCAGTGGCTCCCTGTCTGCGGAATGCTCTCCCCAGGAAAGTTCACCTGGCGCCTTCACTATACATCTTTAGGCGCCAGGCAAAAACATTCCTCTTCAAGCAGGCCTTTGCCTGACCTGACATCCTATACCCTTTTTTAAATGCTGGCTCATTTCGGGGGGGGGGGCGAGATCTGGTTTTTGTTTTGATTTTACGTAAGTGATTTTTAATGTGAACCGCCCTGAGACCTCCGGCGCACGATCCGGCCCATGGAGGGATCCCCACTGGGGTGAAGCAGCCCAGGCGAAGTAAACCTTGCCGACTCCTGTTTGCTAATACAGCTATCAAGGTAACTTGCATGTGTGAATCAGTGATCATAGTTGTAACGTCACAGTTCTGTATCTCCTGATGCCTGGGTGAGCACCATAGATTAAAAACACACCAACACCAGTTTCCTTTGAGCAGCAGGTTCCCGCTACGCATCACAAATATGTTTTGAAACTCCCCATAGTTTTGAAAGCGGCATTGGTGGCCGCTGTTCGAGAAAGCGTGTTCTCCCTCGTGGAGAGCATGTGTTGTGGTTGGGGATGACAAGACACCTCACTGTTGCTGGGCAAAAGAGTTTGGCCATCTTTAAGCAGGGGCGGGCTGTTACTGGGGAGATTTATATGTTGACATTTATTGATTGACAGCCCTATTTGTTCAATACACTGCACACAGTGACGAGCTTCCTCTTTTCGCTGCGTGCTTCGGATCACCCGACCTCCCTCCCTAATGTTAGGCTGTTTGCTTGACCTTGCTATGCCTGTCATGGGGTCGTCTGCTCTTGGGGCAGGGGCCCGGTAGGAATTTTGTCCATTTGGCTGATTGGCTGGTGCCATTTGGTTTTTGCCTACTGCGTAGCAAATCGTCACAACTTGTCAGGTTGCGGTTAGGCATTGGTTTGGGAATTGGTTGGTGGAGGGGTATGGATTTGGCTGTGCCTGCCCCTCCAAAATGCTGCTGCTGCAAGGGTTTTCTGTTAAAGGAATCCAGGGGCTCCCCATGCTTTTGTCCGAACCCCCTGGCAAGGGGCTAGGGCCACACAAGAGCCCCTGGGAGCATTCTGGGGAGAGGTGAGGCATGGTTCCCAGTCCAGTCTCTCTCCCCAGGTGACTTACCCTTGCTGACTTCGCGGGGGGTGCGAATGTCAGAGCTGTCCCAGTGCGGGGTCAGTTAGTCGCTACCAATGCCTAAGCAACCACTTACATTGCTGTAATTTGAATAAAGTTGTGGCCAAAATTATGCCCAAAACCTTAAACAGAATCAAGTGTCATTGTGTTCTTATTTGGGGTGTCTTGGGGACCTTGATGCGCAAACAGTTCACACATGCAGCTCTGATTCATCAGTTCTACAGTAAAAGCCATCAACATACAAAGATGGGAAAACTGCCTACAAGGCAACACAAGAATCAGTCCTAAAGTTACAAACACTATATCTTGCACAATAAATACAGTTAATTTGGACCAACTAGTCTCATACATTTTGGAATGCCAGATCTTGACAGGAACTGATACTTTTTCAAAGGTGAAAATATTCAAGATTTCTCAGTAAAACGCATAGCAACGTATTAGCATTCCCTTGACTGAAAACCAGAATGTAAGACTACTCACCGTGCCGTATAATTTCCCTTTGCTGTTCATTGCAATAAAGAGTGCACTTTTGACACCAAACAGACTAACCACACCTCTCTCTACTGTTGATATTTCCAAGAGACCTAGAGAAGCAGACAAATGCAATGGAGATTGAAAGCCGCTTTTTTCATAGCTGCTGAAAGAACATTATTAAATATAGAAACCCCTATTTTTAAAAGTTATACAAAATTTAATAGAAAACAATAACTTTTGTGCAACAGATTTTTCATCTTAAGGAACTAAAACCAAATTTTAAAAAATCAGAAATAGGCTGGTCCACAAATAAATGCATTTTAGTCGATCTGCCTTTTATAAGTGAATAATCAGTTAGATGAGGAATTAAATCATTTGTGTCTGCAATCCTCTGCACGCTTACCTGAGAAAGCAAGTCCTACTGAAAGGAATGGAGCTTCCTTCTGAGTAGACATATATAGGATTGCACTGTGAATTTAGAACCCGACAGTTAAGCACCTTCATTTCTCATTGATTTCAAGGGGGAAGCTTAAGCTTAATTCTTAATCAAAGGAACACACATAGGTTTAAGTGTGGCTGGACTGTGTACTAAATCACCATCCTATTTTAATTCTAGTTCTTTTCTGTGCGTCTATACAAGAGTGTGCCACACACCAGAGGGCAATTCCACTTAGAAGAGACCCCAAAACAACACATCGAAGACTGAGCGTGAATAGTGCTAACAGAATGCTAACCGCCTCCTATTCCTGCATTTCAGGGGTTGGGCTAGATGACCCTTGGGGTCCCTTCTAACTCTACAATTCTATTATTGGAAGAGGAGGCTGAAAATTTGGGAAGAGAGGGAATGGAACGGAATGGCTGGGAAGGAGAAGAAGAAGAGAGCCAGAAAGAAAGAGAGAGAGAGAGCGCACAATCTCATTGTCTGGCTAGGTAATTTCCGGGTTCTCACTGAGAAACTATTCTTAAATATTCCCAGTGATGGAAGTGAGAGTTGCCCATAGAAATCAATGGAGTAATTCAATATTTTAACATAACTGAAGCTGGGCAGCAGTTGTAACCCCTTCCCCCCCCAAAACCCAGCCCAGTTGGTGTGTGATAGGTAGCTATCCTGTTTTGCTTGTTCACAGACTATTTTCTGTCCATAACTAGACACTGTTTCCTCATTTGTGTATTGCCTTTGGAGCAACATTTTTAAAAAATGTCTGCGTGTACATAAATGTACACGTTCTTTAGGTTTCTGCCCCTTCTTCCAGGTCTCTAGATGTAAAAGCGCTCCATGTGTGTGCATCTTATCTCTGTACACACAGGCATTCAGACCACCAGCACGCTGGTTTTCCTTCCATTCCCCCTCCCAAGCCATCTGTCCAGACAGTAAATACGGCTCAATGTGTTTGAGTGGCAGATTTCCTTCTTCTGCAGTCAGATCCATTGTGAGATAAAAGATTATTTTTTGCATTCTTAATTTGTTAAAAGAAAGAAGGAAATGATTGTTCTCAATCTAGTAGCACATCTGATACAGGACATATTGTTCCAGAACATATACATACTCTATCCAGCAGGAGGAACGAAATGGAAGGCTTAAGTAGTGATTTCTTGGTGTGATAATAGGTGCTTTAATGAACAAATATCCCTCTCTTTATCTGTGGCGATGCTGTCATAATGTAATTGCTGGTTCAGAGCCAGCAAGCCCCGCCTTCTCTGCATTTTTGGCAAGCTCAGAACTTGCAGCAATGCATTTAAAACAAACCATAAATATAATTCCCACTCAGCTCTTCGAATTCCAACCCTCTGAACTGCGATCTCCACAATGTAGATCACAAAATGAATGATGAAGTCATCTTCTATACCTCGCAACCAATTGCTGGCATTATTTTTCAAAGCAGTCTTTTAATTTCCTGGATTAAAATCAACAACCTATATTCTTGCCGTGAAAGCCGTCTTTTAAGATTTCTCAGTATTCCCAACTTTTCCCCAAACATCCCGTACATACAGGCTGCAAGTCCATCTACCTGCAAAAAAGGGAGGCATGGGGGAGCTGGAAGAGCATCTTAAACAGAGAGAGAGAGAAAAGATCCCAACCTCTTTGCTTTTTCAAGGCTGTAAAGTCAAACCAACTAAAAATAAGTTGGTATCTAATTTTGTCCAAGTATTCAGGACATGCTTCAGCCTGGAGGTTTTGGGTGCTGATTGATCCTGAAACATTTAAAAAGGCCACAGAAGTACTTAAGACTAATAATAATAATAATCAGTAGCTTTCAGGTTCTAGGTAGGGTGTTAGAAATCAAGTCAAAAAGGGATATCAATTCCACCATTTTGCATTGTGATGCAGTTTGCAACTCACTGTATTGGTTTTCAGCATGAATACCACTTATCTGTCCATCTGGAAATATCTGGAGATGAAACCCAATGCCCACGTTGCAGTAAAGCCTCCGCCGCCTCTTGATTCCTAGCAAATAGTCAGTCTCCCAGTTGACTTCAGATTTCTCCCCTGACATTCCAGCAAGGGACCTGGATAAGATAGACTCCCATCCTCTGTCCAACAGGGTGCCATTTGTTCTGACGACAACTGGGTAGGAAAAGAGAATCTCAGCCAGAAAGCCCAGGAGAACAAAAGCAGGGAACGTCAAGTGAATGCTGGCTTCGTAGGACATAGTGATGAGAAGCCTTTGTGCAATAGCCATCCGTTCACCTCCTGGGCACGTGGTCAGAATTAATGGCCCTAAAAATACCACCCTTCTTGTTTTTCTCCCTTCAGCATGGTGGCAGTGGCTTATTTTTGGAAAGCAGAGGAAGATTTTGGACATGAAACTAAAGCCCAAGAGCAGTTGGGTCAGGGAGAGAACGAGGAGCCTGGTGGGGACCATGTTTTGAATGCTTCCTGCTCTCCAGTCGGCAGCGTTCTATATTTGATTGATCTATCGCTATGTTAAAAGGGAGACCCCACCCTGCAGTATCGATCTGGCATCAGTGTTCTGCCTAAGGGTTACATCTGTGTAACCCTTAATCAGCGGAAGCTCCTCTGTTGAGCAAAGGGGGGTGTAGCCCTACAAAGATTCTAGTCCCCCAAACCTCCGCAGCCATGGTCCAGTCTCTTGTCGCACAGGCATTACAGTGTATTAAAGCATTTCCCGGACTGAGAGGCTTCTTCGATATTTCTGCCCATCTTCTCTGCTTAGATGATCAAAATAATCAACCTTGAGACGTAGGCTGACAGTGACTCGCCCAAGGCAGCCCAGGGAGCTTCACAGATGAGCTGAGATTTAGGCTTTCAGCACCGTTTCCCATCTGTAGAGGCAGGAGAGCTATTAGGATGATAATAATTGGAAATTCCAATGGGTTTCCCCAGCTGATATGACTGATGCTCCTGTCAAAGCCCCAGTCAACTGCTGGAACATCCGAATGGCTCGGGCTGTTGACACCATTGCCCCTGAGTGCCTTCCCCCACTTTGTGGAGTCCCCTTGGCTCCCTGGTATAATCCAGAGTTTAGGGCAAGGAAACAAGCTGGGAGACGGCTCAAACATGAGTGGAGAAAACTCCAGCAATTGAACACTGCTGAGGGCTTCACTTGTGGCAGTGGAGGCAGTAAAGAAGGCATACTTTGCTGCCTCCATTGCATCCTCAATATGCGGGTGGCACTGTGGGTTAAACCACAGAGCCTAGGACTTGCCGATCAGAAGGTAGGCGGTTCGAATCCCCGCAACGGGGTGAGCTCCTGTTGCTCAGTCCCTGCTCCTCCCAACCTAGCAGTTCGAAAGCACGTCAAAGTGCAAGTAGATAAATAGGTACCGCTCTGGCGGGAAGGTAAATGGCGTTTTCGTGCACTACTCTGGTTTGCCAAAAGCAGCTTAGTCAGGCTGGCCACATGACCCAGAAGCTGTAAGCCGGCTCCCTCGGCCAATAAAGCGAGATGAGCGCCGCAACCCCAGAGTCGGCCACGACTGGACCTAATGGTCAGGGGTCCCTTTACCTTTACCTTGAGCTTTCCAGGGAGTGAGGGGCTTCTTACAGTCTGGCCTGGAGGTGGCGGGACTGAGGGTAGCTTGCTGGTTTTTTTGCAAAGCATTTTGAGGATAAAATCACTTACACCACCAGGACTTGACTCCATTGTTACAGCAGGTGAATCTCCAGAGGCAACACGAGAACGGGCCTTTTCTGTGGTGGCTCCCCTGTTAGTGGAACGCTCTCCCCTGGGAGGCTTGAAGCCTTTGTTACATATCTTTTCGATCCAGGCAAAAACATTATTATTATTTATTAAATTTGCATACCACCCTTCATCAGAAGATCTCAGGGTGGTTCATAGCATAAAAATACAAGATAAAACATAAAACATTCCTCTTCTCCCAGGTTTTGACAAATCTATGGACTTTTAATAAGCATTTTTCATTATTTTTTGGTAAATCGCTTGTCTAGCAATGAGACCGCCAGGTTGCTTCTGAAAATCACTGTTCCTAAGCTGATTTCTCAACAGAACAGGCTAGATTTCAAGATGGTATCCAAGATGGTTTGAACCAATGCTTTTGTTTCTATAGCCGTATAGGAGGAGCTTGAGAGTAGAAACTCAGCAACTCAGTTGGGGGTTTCGGGAGTGTATAAAAACAACAATACACATAATAAATGGGTCCCAAAATATCCGTTCATTTAATCAATTTTGAAGCCCCCATATAATATCAGTAAATCATATTAGTGCTTTGAGGTTGTCTTGCCCAATAAAATATTTGAATTGCATATTACATTTGGAAACAGAACAATGTTTTGATTTTTTTCTTTGTCACTTATAAATTAAATGTTATGCTTGCTGAAATTTATATCTATCTATCTATCTATCATCTATCTATCTATCATCTATCTATCTAATCTATCTATCTATCTATCTATCTATCATCTACCTACCTACCTACCTACCTATCTATCTATCACCTATCTATCTATCTATCATCTATCTATCTATCATCTATCTATCTATCTATCTATCTATCATCTATCTATCTCTAATTATTTAACTAACTAACTAACTAACTAACTAACTAACTAACTAACTATCATCTATCTATTATCTATCTATCTATCTATCTATCTATCTATCATCTATCTATCTATATCTATCATCTATCTATCATCTATCTATCTATCATCTATCTACCTATCATCCATCTATCTATCTATCTATCTATCTATCTATCTATCTATCTATCTATCATCTATCATCTATCTATCATCTAATTATCTGTCAAATTGAGTCCCAATGTTTTTTGTCTGGTTTGCATGACTTATAGGCTAATATGAGATATATCAGCTTAAAATGCAATGCAATGACTACAGGGCTGCCATATGTCCATAATTTTTCCAGACATACCCAAGATTCGGCTGTATGGCAACCCATATTGGAAGTGCCATTTTTGGCAATTTCTGGGGGGAAAGCTCAATTTCTGAGGAGAAACCGCGGGGAAAAATGGATCAACAACTTTGCCTAAAAAAGCTTTCTGAAATATGACAACCCTAACTTATGAAGATGTTTAATATGCCACAAAAACCTTTAAGAAAGAAGTAATCAATGCACAGAAGGACGGAACAATTAAAGGGAATGATCCACATTTACACAGGTAGCACCAAAGGAGCATTTCTGCACAGTAATTGTACTTTCTTGAACAGCTGGTTTTGCAACCTCACACCATTACATCAAGAGGAAAGGATGAAATATTATAAGGATGGGGAGTGAGATCTTTTTTCCGGTACAGCTCATGGGATTAGGTAACTGCACTCTGCTGTATAGCAGTCTTGATACGATGCAGGAAGGTGTCAGCTTGGTTGCAGAAGGCAGGGGTTCTGATTTCTTCCCAAATATCGAGTGCCTGGTCATCTGTTGTTCTGATACTCTGCTCCAGCTCAAAACAATCTGCAGTAAGTTCCTTGCAAGTTATGTGGAACACAAATTTTAACAGTTCCAAAGCTACAGGATGCAAGTATCAGTTTGTCTTTTGATCACATTACTATTTGCATTGTGTTAACTTTGTAAGATCTTGGCCCAGTACGGTGATTTGTGAAAAGGTTAGTTTTCAGTTTTCAAAGAGCAAAGCCGGGAGGATGGGCAGAAATCTCTGCTTGAGAGGGATTGAGTTTCAGTTAGCAAGGAGGAAGACTTAAGGCTAAGTGTTAGTCATTGTAGTGTAAATTGATTCTGATGTGTGTTTAGTGCAGTGTTTCCCAACCACTGTTCCGCGGCACACTAGTGTGCCGCGAGATGTTGCCTGGTGTGCTGCGGGAAAAATTAAAAAATTGAAAGATTTTTTTTTTAAAAAAGTCAAATTTTCGATTGGGGCGCCGTCACTAGATGACCCCTGGGGTTCCCTCCCTCCCTCCCGCTCTGCGCCTCCCTCCTCCTCCTCCTCCGGGGAGGCCCTTCCTGGCTCTCGGCCAAGGCTTGGCGGCTGCCACTCACTCACTCGCTCGCCCACCCGTCCCTCCATCCCTGCACCCGGCCTCTCCCCCTCCGTCCCCGGCGCGGGGGCTGCCGGGATCCGTAGTCCCCTCGCCCTTGGGCTCCGCGCCCGCGCGGGGTGCGCAAACTACGTTTCCCAGCGTGGCCTGGCGGGCCGGGCGTTTTGTTTGAAGCGCTCTTCTCCCGGCCATGGAATGAGCGCAGCGGCGGCGGCCGGGCGGGCAGGGGCTCTTCCGCGCAGACCCCGCGCAGCCTGCCTGCGCCCCCCGGAGATCGGGCGGCAGGATGGAGCCCGGGGATCCCCGCGGAGGCGGAGCGGCGGAGGCTGCCCCCCAGGTAGGGCTGCGTCGGGGGTTTTTTATTTTTGCAATGCTGCATCCGCGCCGGAGGGGACGCATCGGACCGCGGGGAGACCCCTTGGCGGGCGTGCAAGGCAATGCATGCGTGCAGGCGTTGCATGGAGTGCAGTGCAATGCAATGGCAATGCGGCGCCCTGCATGCATGCATGCAACTTCCACCGGCGCTCCGGACTTGGCAGGTGAGGGGGGTCCCCAGTGGGCGGCAGAGAGAGCCGGGAGGGCGAAGGGGAGCCGGGGGGGAGCAGCGCTGCTCCCCGAGCCGAGCCCGGGGGAAACTTCGGCGTCGTTGCACCGGGTGTTGGAAGCCGAGGCTGGCGGGGGCCCCTCACCTGCAAAACCTGGTCGCCTCTCATATATTTCGTGCATTGCATTCATCGCCCGCTTTCTCCTCCAAGGAGCTCCCGGGGGCGCGCGTGGTTCTCCCCGTGTTATCCTCGCAACAACAGCCCTGCGAGGTGGGTCAGGCGAGTGGCCCAAGGGAGCACCCAGGGATTGTCCTGGCCAGGTGGGGTGATTTGAACCCTGCTCTCTGCCCGGTCTTCGTCCTCATTTAGCCCCCACATGTGCATGACTGTGCATGACTGAGGTTTTCCCCCCTCGTCTTGGCTATGGTGTGAGTCTGTGCTGTTAATTAATGGGGTTCTGCCTTCGGAGAAGATGAGCCAGCCCTCAAGGAGGTGATTATGTAATTTGCTAGCAATTCATGTCCCTCCCGGCGTGACGCTGCGCGCTGACGTCACGGGGCTGTAATGGTGGTGTGCCTCGAGATTTTTTCATGAAACAAGTGTGCCTTTGCCCAAAAAAGGTTGGGAAACACTGGTTTAGTGGATACTAGAAGTTGTTTTGACTGTTCTTGTTTTGATTGCCACCCCCCATCCCTCCTGAGGAGATGGACACCCATTTCTGAGGTCTCCACCTGCCAATCAAACTCAAACCGTCAACCAAATCCCCCAAAGACAGCCCCTCACAGCTGATTCAGCTATCCATACAGACAGAGTATTTGCCTTACTTTGTGCTTTGTTGGTTGATGGCAGCCCTTTTCAGGCAGAAACCATGGAGCGAGATCAGACAAATGAAAGAGCAGGACAGAGGGACGATTTTATTTTTTAAATTGGTAGGCAAACAAGCAAACTGATGCAGAGCTCTCCTTCGTGTTTGATTATTGCAGCATCGAACAGGATGCTGGCTGCAAAGTCTGAGGACTGGAACATGGACGTGGGTGGCGCTGTGGGTTAAACCACTTAGCCTAGGACTTGCCGATCAGAAGGTCGGCGGTTCGAATCCCCCATGACGGGGTGAGCTCCCGTTGCTCGGTCCCTGCTCCTGCCAAGCTAGCAGTTCGAAAGCACGTCAAAGTGCAAGTAGATAAATAGGTACCGCTCCGGCAGGAAGGTAAACGGCGTTTCCGTGCGCTGCTCTGGTTCGCCAGAAGCGGCTTAGTCATGCTGGCCACATGGCCTGGAAGCTGTACGCCAGCTCCCTCGGCCAATAAAGCAAGATGAGCGCCGCAACAGAAGTGGTGCACTAAGGAAAGAAATGTCTCTGTCTGTGCCCATAAGCATAGCTGTTAACTGTGCACTGTGCAATTCTAGAGTCTGTCTTTTCATGAGCTTCCTGAAGCTGCATAACATCAATAGTCTAATTGGCACCATGTTCCTTTCACCTTAGAATCCTTCAGCAACGACAACATTGAGGGTCTCATATATCAATTGAGAAACAAAGCAAACAAGGACTTATTCTCAGGCATACAGGGAAGCTTTCCCAATTATTTGTCAGGAAGGACAACCTGCATACAATAAGGCTACCAGACATCCCCGTTTCCTGGGGGTGGTCCCCGGATTTGCAAATCGGTCCCCATA